CAAGAAGAAAGAAAGTTGATGAAAATTAAAAAAATATTTTTAAATGTCTTCAATAAGCAATTTGTGGAAGGGCTGGGATTTAGCTCAGCAGTTCTGCAGCCAGCCTTGCAAGCACAAGGACCCGAGTTCAATCCTTGGTACCAAAAAAACAAAAACACACAAAAACATACACAATTTGTTGAATCTGTGGACATAGAATCTAGGGATGGAGAGGGCCAACTGCCCTACTGTTTTTCCAGATAATTGTGTCTCTCAGCAAACTTGACACACATCACTGGGAGTCACCGCCGAGACCATTTGGCATCTACAGGGCCCAGTGTACTTAGGCATTGACCCCAGCATCAGATCAGTCCCAATCTGCCTTTCTTTGAGAAGCCCTCCTTGACCCTCCCCAGACAGATCTTATGTGATGTGCAGGACAAGGGATGGAGAAAGGGCAAGCCCCAAGTCTGAATTCTGGCTTCACTCATTTCTGACTAGGTGGCTCTGGGCATGTTATCAAACCTTGTACTCGGTAAAAGGAGTTCTAAATAGAGCAAGCGAGAATCTCAACTCGCAAAGAGAAAAGGCGGGGTGTTACATCGTGCTAGGGTATTGAAGAGGCCAAGGCACCTTCCCATGCAAGTGTCCCACTGTTTTTGGTGAACCACGCTCATAAATGGTCCTTCAGAACTGGCAGCTGACCTGGTATTTCCCTGCCTTCTTTGGGGTACACTAATAGCTCTGCTGCTCCTCATGCTCTCTGTAAGTCCATCTGTGATCTATCTGCCCAGCTATGCCAGGCCAGCAGGTCCTGTCGGCAGCACATGTGCTTGCTGAGGAAATTGCTTCAGGTGCCTTCCCTCTGCAACTCTGATGTCATAACTTCTCCACCTCCCCCTTGCCACACTCACCCCCACCTCATCTAGGGGAACCAGATTCTTTTCCTCTATTCTCCCCCCAGTGCAGATCCATTCCTTGGTCTTCCCTGCCTCCTAAGGGTTTAGGCTTCTGGAAACCACAATGAAGAACACAGTTTAAACTTCTCTGTGCCCCTCCCTATGGCAGACCAGAGGTGTGTTTAAATGGAGATGAGACAAACACAGAACAGAGAACGAAGACTAAGATCTCCAAGTGGCTACCCCACCATTTAAGGAATACATAAAATAGCATATGAAGAAACCTGCCACATTCAGACCTAACAAATGGTGGCTATTTTGCCCCTCTAACCTATTTCACATATCATCTATATCACTTACTTGAACATAAATTATGCACTGCCTTAGAATATTTATTATACTATCAATTTATTCTTATATGTTTACTTCACCAGTGTCTCTACATGAAGTACAATTCAACATAAGCTTCTGAAAATATGTTCCAAATTTTATAATTAACTGAATCTAACAAAATACTAGGCATATAGAAAATGCTTTAAAAATGGGTGTCGATCTAGCTTCAGGAATCCAAAATCATGTTTGCAAACAATTAAAGAAAGTTCTTTGTGGAGGAAATTGATGATTCATAACTATTCTTGATTCATAACTATTGAAAAGTGATTCATAACTATTCTCATTTTAAATGTTAACATAGGAGCCATGTAGTCTGTGTAGATACTCTAGATATTAAACAGAGATTTTTCAATGTTATGTTATTTTTTGGAATCCTGCATCACAACCACCATTGGGTGCACATACATTTCATATTTTATGCTGGCCTCCCATTGCAAAATGCTAATTGAATTGATTTCCTGGAGCCTTGTCACTAATAAATAAAGGGCATCCCATTTTGAATAAAAAATACAAAATATGAATGTGTTTTGCTAAGAGGAAATACATAGGAAAATGTCATAACATCAAAAAAAAATCACAAAGCATGGCCCTTAAGGATGGAGCTGCTGAGGGAGAAGTGGAGGAGAGCAGGATGAAGGATCACAGTCCTACTTTGGCCTCGGCTAGCTGGCCAGCACTACCAGGACACCTACTCGGTGCCGTGCATGGATGGATATACACATATTACAGGGACCTACACTTTACCACTTCCTGCAGTGTGGCCTTTGGATACATACTTCCCCTTTTAAAACTAAATTCACCCATCGATAAATATAGAATGAGCACTTACCTCTCAGGGGCTTTATGAACATTCAAGGAGATGATGTATGTTTAGTACCTCACATGAGATGAGGTATGTATTTGATGCTCAGTAAATGATAGTTAATGGATCTGCTATTCTAAGATAAGAACAAAACAAGTAAGAGGCCATCTGGGAAGCTGGAAAGGAGCACCTATCCATGCCCAGATTCATTCTCTCTTTATGCAGGTCAACAAAGATACTCCTTTGCTAGGGTGGGAACATGCTAATGGCTTAGAGGAACACTTTATCCATGGGGACTTTAAGGTCCTAGATTAGAAGACCTTAAATGGGCTTCCCTGTTGTGATGGACCATCTCAAGCCATTCCTCAAAGCCAAATCTATTTAAAATTCCCTCTGAACTGAGGACTTCAAAAGAGACATCATTTATTTCCAAAATCAATCTTTGGCCATCAATCAACAGACAGCATTTTGACTCAAAATGGCCCAACACAGAAGGTAGACAGTGGCCCCCACAGTGGAATACATCCCAAAGCACAGCAGCGAGGAGGTCCATTGGTTCTGCTCAATCTTGCCGTGACTCACCTGGCTCTGTCTTCCTCACTGAACTGCCTTTGTTGTCCCCAGTCTAATGGCAAGAAGGCTATAGTGGCCCTTGGCCTTCCATCTTAATCTCCACGGAAAGACAGCGAGAGTTTGCAACTTTCCGGGGAGAAAAATGGAAAGTTGTGTTGTTTTGCAAGTCAGCAGCTCTCGTGACAGTAGCCTATGCGTGTCCCATTATTATTCCTGGACCAAGCCCTATGGCTTGTTGGATGCCATGTGCTGAATAGCTTCTTCCTGGTACTGAGTTTCAGGTCCACCCCTAAATCAGACCCTGGAGCAATAGGGATGACATATACTAATTCGCTTAAATTAAATACAGCCCATCCCTGGAGTTCCCTAGTATTCTAGGCTTCCTTATCAAGGCAGAAAGAGAGAGACTGATGTTGGTGAGATAGCCACAAGGCCCTCTGATCTGCTAGTATTCAATTTACCATTTTCTTCAATTCAGCAGCCAAGTATAAAATATCTGTGATGTACCAGGCAAAGTGCAGGATGCCAAGAGGATAGAAGAGACCAAGCGTTGTTGGGAAGAATAAATGAGTCAGTGTTTGCAAAGTCCCTGGTGCAACCCTCAGCCCCTAATACTTGCTAAGTATTGTCTTCATTAAAATGAATAATGCATGAGTAATCCTTGCTATCCAGGAGAGAGAGCGACAGAGACTTAAACTAATAAATTATAACAGCATGTGAAGGGTGAGCCTGCGGGTGGCATCAAGGAGACAGAAAACATGAGGAGTATGCAAAACCTCAAGCTTAAAGCTCAATGGTTATTGACCTTGGCTTCACATTTGATTCACCTAAGAAGCTTTTAAAATGTCAGATACCGATTAAGTCAGAATCTCTAAGGGTGGAACCAAGCACCAGGCATCGGTTTATCTTTTTAAAAAGTATATCCAATGTTGAAGCCCTCAATTTGAGACTGTTGAGGACATAATACACATACATGTAAACCATTTGCCCACCAGCCAAGTGGTGAGGGATATATTAAAATCAACCTTGCCCGTTCCAAGGCTGAGGGTAGGGAGAGGACACAGTGAGGCTCAGGGCAGAAAGAAGTTGTGGTGGGGAAGAAATTCAGTGGGGGACGTGGGGAAGGTTTCAGTGAGCAACCGGGGACAGGGAGCTTAAGGAGCCTGGAAAAAAGTAAATTTTGCTTGATCTGAGCCATGGGGAGGCAGTGTGGGAAGAGTCTCATTGTGAGGAGGAACAAGGGTAAATGACGGTATATGGTACATCAGTCTGGATCCAATCAGGGGAGGGAATCCAGATTCATTTCAACAGGAAAACATAAAGCAGCACTACATCTAACAAGGGATTGTAGCAGCAAGGAGTTGCTGTCTAGTAAAGAGAACTCTAAGGAATATAAGAATAGTGCATGTGAGGATCATCCACTATCTCCAGGGATGAAAGAAGCACCCAAGGGAGAGCCTTCCCTCCATACGCTGAAATCTAAATTTTGTCGGCACAAGACTACTAAAGGGCAGAGAGGCCTCCCTGGTGTTGCTTGTTGGAAACCTGTTCTCCAGAGAGCTGCAGAAGCCACTCAAAGGGTTTTTCCATGCAGCATGCTCCACTACCAAACCACAGAGTGTTTGGGAAGCCTCAGGAACTGCTGAGCTAAGACAGCATAGGGCAGTGACGGTGAACCTGCGCACACATCCCACAGTGGGCATGCAGAGCCCTCTCTTTTGCCATGTGAGCCAAATGCCTGAGTTATTTTTTTCTAAACTAAAATCGCAATATTCAGATTTAATTGCAGTGTTGGCACTTTCTAATATATAAGTGGGCTTTGTTTTTCAGTTTGGGCACCCCATCTCTAAAGGACTCACCATCCCTGGCCTAGGGAAACAAGATGTAAAACCTAGAGTGTGCCCTGTGAGCCAGAGAAGCTCACAGAGCATACAGAAATGTTTCTAGGAAACTAGCAAAGCTGCAAGGCAGCCCAGATCCCTGTTTCTTCCATGTTCTGCTTTCTTTCTGGGAAAATATCCATGCAAGATCCAGGCAAGGTTTGTCTATGTAGAACATCCAGAGGTGGACAATAAAGCCAGTGAGGAAGGCTGCAGCCTGACTTGGAAACCAGGGAGAAGATGGAAAGATGTGGCTGCCGGGAAGGGTTTGCAACGTGACACTGAACACTTGCACATGGTTGACAGTGGACTGGAGCTCCCACGGGATCCAGCACTTCCCCAAGCGCATGCACTCTTTCAAGTTTATGGGTCATAGTTAGTGTGACCTTGGCTCAATGACCAGCTGGGACCTCAACGTAATAATCCCTACCCAGTATCCTCACGGTAAATGACAGTGCTGCTTTTTTCTTTCAGGAGGCGAAGTTGCCAAACCACGATTTGCGCAGTTCTTCCATGGCAGCCTAGCCAGTCTTACCATCCGCCCTGGCAAAATGGAAAGCCAGAAGGTGATTTCCTGCTTGCAGGCCTGCAAAGAGGGGCTGGATATTAATTCTTTGGAAAGCCTCGGGCAAGGAATAAAGGTAAGGAAAGAGCTGGTGTCACCCTGATAAGACACTGATTTATGAGACTGAGGCTACCCAGCACCCAAGCATGCCAGGAAATATTTGTTTCTGTAATACTGTGCAGAAATGGCACCACAGCAAAGGTGCTCCCGTGGAGGGAGGTAGTGACCTTGACTTCCAGGATGGACTTGTGCTGCCATCTCCTGAAAGTCCTAGGTCAAGTCCTTGTATCCAATCAGCCCACTATGTAACATTCGGCACGTACGGAATGTCTGCCTGAGGAAATTGTACTTCATTTGCTTGTGGGTTGGTCTGTTGCTTTATCTGCCTGACGGAACTGGGGCAGTGTGCAAGAATATACTGCCAAAACATGAAGAATAAGTAAGAAGTTAGGACTCTGTAAAATACAAATTAGTAAGGAAAGAAAAGACTGAGGGGAGGTAGAGAGCAGGTATGGAGGTCAGGGGTCTTGTGCAGCGACAGTGAGGCACAGATTATGCTCTAAGCAATCTCTGGCAGTCAAAAGGAAAGTGAACAGATTCATGATTTTCATCATCCCTGAGAACCAAAGGTATATTCTGAGAAAAGTTCCTCGTGAGCAGGGCAGGAAAGGATGTGACCAACTATGGCCTCAGCGAGCATCTCCGTAGGAAGCAGGGTATTTTCTGGCCTCACCGGGATGTAAGAAGCTCCTGCTGGTACTAAATTCCTGGGGTCCTTACTGTAGAGAAGGGTCAACATCATTGGAGACTTTGTTCAATCATCATGGTTCCCACTGTGAGAAAGCATTTCCTCGGCTCCTATTTGAAAGATGAATGACTCACTCGCTGTCCCTTGCCTCCTGGGAGTGGATCTAGCACTCCCTCCACAGAGCTGAGTCACCTTTGTTGACCATTCCAGCCCACTGCACAATCCTGCCCAGTGCTGCCATGGAGTTGTGCCTTGCAGTCCTGCCCTGGCCTTGCCTCTTCTAGACAGGGAGTCCTCCCTGCAGGGCTCCTGCTTGCAGGCTCTGACACCGGTTAGCTCTGGAGAGGTTGATGGTGTTGTGAGCACTCTACTGTGCACAACATTGCAGTCACTTCAGCAGGGACGCCCATGTATTCAGTTCTGTGCTGGGTTCTAAAATACGAAAATGAGTATTCCAAGTCTGCTGTCTTCAGAAATTCAGTGGCCCAAGCAGACATTTGTGATCAAGCTTTATGACTGCTGCAATGATGACAAGAACTGACTTTTCTGAGGGTCTCCTGAGTGCCAGGCATCGTTCTAAACATTCAGGGCACACTACTCCCCAGAATATCCCCTTGACAAAATTCCAGTTTTACACATCAGAAATTGAGGGCCGAAGGGGAAAGGAAATTCCCCTCCTAAGATCTGCAAGTTAGGGATGGGCAGAGCCAGAACTTGAAGCTGGGCCGTCATACTCCAGAACTCCAGATTCAGGTAAATTTCAGTCAGGGAAGGCTCCTTGGAGGAAACGAGGCCTGAGCAGAATATGTAAGGTTAGATTGGAAAAAGGCAAAGAAAACAGGGAAGAGGGCAGTCATTCCAGGAAGATCCCAAAGTATGAGCAATGGCAGGAGGGCTGAGGTCCATCACAGTGTGCAATGGGCCTTCCATGAGGCCAGTGTTATAAGTGTCCAAATTACCAGAGAGAGGGTTAGCAAGGGGAACCAGAGAGTAGCAGAGGCCATATTATGGAGCCTCTTAACCATGTTAGGTATTTACATTTAGTGTCACTAGTTGCGAGTCTTTGAAGGCTGAATCAGGGAGCATGCTCTTGATGATGTAGTGTTTGGGATATACACTCTATACACTGGATCAAAGGGGGAAGATGGAAGGAATGTAGCAGGCATGGCGAGGCAATGGGACCTTACAAGTCATCATTTAACATGGTTTAGATATACTCTGAGTGTGTCAGAGTGCACATACACTCGATAGCCAATCACCTGCCATTGGAGGAAGCTCACAAGTCCAGCCCGTATTATTGGAAAGGGTGGTCTTACCTACTGTATATGTTGTCTTCTTAGGGTTTTATCCATCCACTGATGCAGATTTGACCTCCAAATCTCTTCTCTTTTACTGATTCTGGGTTTGCTCTTTGCCTCCGAGTGCACCTGCTCTGCTCTGCACAACCCATGGAACCACAGCTGCAGAGTTCAAGGCACCATAGAGCAATAAACCAAAGATGCTGTCCTGAAAAGCCATGTGATTTTAGAATTATGAATTAAGAAGTGTAGCAATTGCCACAGAATAGATATAGCCTGTGAAAAGAGGAGATGCTAAAATGCATGGCACAAGAATGTGTGAGGTCCAAGGAAGACTAATCTGGATTTTCAGGATACCACCTATTCATATCCAAGTCACTGCAAAGGATCCTTTTCTATCCCTAGGGCATGGCTGGTGAGAACTGCAGTACTGTGTGAGAAGTTAATAAGACACACAATTTACAGAACACCCACTGGGGGCTATTTTATGTTCATTATCCCTGCTTCTCAAAACAAATTAAATATTTTGACCTCATTTCAAAAATAAGGGAACTGGGGCTCAGGGACTTGTCCAAAATAAATCCATGCTCTTCCCTCCACCCTACCAACTCAGATTAAAATAAAATTATGAAAACTAACTTCTTTCCAACCTGCACTTAATCTGCCTGTCCTTTCTGAGTTGTGGCTATCATTTTATTTGCCAGGTGACTGGGCTCCTCCCAGCTCTCTGGATAGTCTAAAGAAGTGAGGCCCTCCTGCAATTAGGAAATTACCTGCATCTGCTCATACCCCTGGAACAGCTTCCTGGCATTACTTTTCCTCCTCTAGATCACACCTAGTTCTAAATTTTCTCCTCAAGTCTTTAAATGGCTGTGGTGGCTGCTCTCCTGTATCCATGCAAGATACTTTGGCATAGCCACACTCCTAAAGGATACCTATTCTTATTTTCTCATACAATCCCTGCCGTTGTCACCTTCCTAGTGTGAAAGAGCAAGAAACAGTAAAGATTCTAGAATAAGACACTCCTGGAACATTTTAATCTTTAAGCTCTAATTCCTCCTGCATACAATGCACTTATTATTTTTCTTATGTGATATAAAAACTGAACAAAGTAGGCTCTTAACAATCACAGGTTCTTTTGTAGCAACAGAGCCTCTAACTTGCCAGTTTTTTCCTTGGTGCAGCCGGCAGGTTCCCCAAAGAATGTCAAGGTGCCTAAAGAGCACGGCCAGCCCACCCACAAGAAACAGGTATCCAAGGCTTTGGATAGCCTAGCATCCTAGGTGGCTGGAGACAGCTGAGCTCTAGAAAAGATGACCATGCCACAAGGACCATCTGCCCAGCACCTCCTTAGCACACTTTTACCACAACACAGCTTCCCACGGGTGAATGAACACTGTCACCCTCCACAGTTTTCTCCAGCAACCGAACATGCCATCATCTCCTGCCTCTGTGTCTGCCTGTACAGATGCATCTTCCATGTAACCACAGACTCATAAACCAAGCAGGGATACTGCTGTGGGAAAAACACAAGTACGAACTTTGGAGGGCTTTACTGAACCTGCAAGCACTGTGTTGATGGATACGCCAGCACCCACCTTTGTGCCCGGTGATAGCCCACTGGATGCCCTAGCGGCCAGACCAGAATATGAACTGGAGATCTGGCACATTTCTTAACCTTTGCTTTAGCCAAGCAAATGAAGTGGGAATGCACCCTCTGCTGGTTGCCGTGAGACGCTGCCAGTCCCCCCTCTGAAACTGCATGGTTTTCCTCTTCATCACTCGTGCAGACTCAGAGATCAGCCTCTTCTGCAAGGCTCATCGTCTATCTCGTGCTTTGCACATGCTAGATCCTGTGGCAATCCTGGGGAAAGGACAGCCAACCCAGGCTTTGAGGTGCTCACACTTTGCTGCAGGATGCACACAGATGGCATCAGCACCTTGAGATTCTGCCATCAGAGGGATGGTACAGAGGAGAAGGGAATGGAGTAGCAGAAAACTATTTATGAACATAAATGGTGTCTGTAGAAGAATGACATTGAATCTTCTCAAGTCTGAAAGAGGTGACTCGCAAAACACCTCAAAGCTCATTTTTGGCTCACTAACATGTGACAACTCCAGGGCTGAGCACCTTACTCAGGTGAGGCATCTGTGGCTAGACACCAGCTCAGAGGCTGACTATGATGCATATGCTTGGGTGCTCCCAAATCTACAAAAGCGACTGGTGCTTGTGAGCAGAAATAATGGCTCAGAAAGACCCTACCAGGGCTTTGAGTGGGAAGAGGGAACTGTATCATAGGGAAGGCAGGTGCCTTGCCACAAGCAAAGATTCAGCTCAGACAGAATTTCGGTATTAAGAACTGTAACCAAAGGTATCCTATGCTGAACACCTTGTAAATGCTACAAACGTTACACAGATTGGGCATGCCTAATCTGGAGATCTGAAATGCAAAAGACTCCAGACCCCAAAACTTTGACTTTTTGAGCGCCAATGTGATATCACAGTAGAAAATCCCACACCTGGCTTCACGTGACAGATCACAGTGAACACATAGGTACATTAAAAATATTGTAATAAATTACCTTCCGACCATTTCTACGAGGCACGTATGAAACATAAAGGAATTTCGTGTTTAAACTTGGGGGTTCCACCCCCAAGGTATTTCATTTTGTATGAATATGCAAGTCTTCTGAAATCCAAAACATCTCAACTCTGAAACACTTCTGGTCCTAAAGATTTCAGAGAAGGGATACTCAACTATGTTTTGTCACTTAAACCTCAGATAGATGGATATTAATTTCTCCATTAGTTTAAATGAAGTCTAGAAAGAGGATATGACTTTGGATCCAAGGTTGCATCTGTAGTTTGTACTTGAGCTAGAATGTGACAAAGCCTTTCAAAGATGCTGTATAGCCTTGAAGAAGTAAGAATCATGGCTGTGAAGGGTTGACTTCCTCCAGACAGGTATGCTATTGTGGTAATGACTCCAAAACCTCAATGGATTAGCCTTAATGGCTTAACCCAGTCAGAGAGGAGGGTTGTGGCTTCTGCCTAGTATGCTGCAGATCAGTGGAGTGGAGGGAAAAGATGCTAGATTATCCCACATCTGTCCTGCAGGGAAAGGCAACGCAAGTCACATTGTCAAGCCTGTTGACAATAGGGCAGTCACATATGAACCTCCCACTGGCAGAAGAAACCACTAATTCTGTAAAATAATGCAATTTGCCACAAGAAACTAATCCAATAGTGAGAGATTAGCTGCGGGACTGGATTGCAGAAACTGGATGGATGGCCAATAGGAGTAAGGGAATTTTTCACTTAGCACATACATACATTTAAATTATGTGTATAATACTATTTATTCAGACAAGTAAATCGTTGTTGTCAGGTACCTACATAAAAATACGTCCACTCCCCTTACCTATAACATGAGTGGTAAATATATAGTCTGAATCTGTTCTTGCCACTTTATTGATAATAATTCCACATAATTACTAAAGAGAAGTGTGTCAGGATTTGTAGCTCACAGTGTTTCACATTCATTCAAAGAAGACTAGCTGCTAGGGAAACACAGGTAGAAGCAAAGGTCTGAATCAGCTTGAGGACCCTCAGTAAGGAGCATCAGAACCACATAGGCCTTTGCCAAGAATGGGATACCGGGGGCTCAGGATGCAGTGGGTAGATAGTGAACCCACAAGTAAGCAGAAGATGTGTAAGGCTCATGGGACAGGTGAAGTCTGCACAGAAGGAAAGACAGTAACTGGAAAAAATGAGCTCCAAGGTTGAAAGCTAAGAACATGCATCATGAGTCAGGAAGTAGAGTGCAGGGTGAATTAGGGAGCAGTTCATGGCCAAACACAAGAACAGCAAAAGGAAACAGCATCCGAGTATTGAGGATATTAGATCAAGGAGCAGGCAGTCCAAGGGCTGACAGTTACTGGTCCCAACTAGCTGGGTCACACAGAGCCTGAACTACCCTTGGCAAAGCCTGAGCATCAAGAGCACTGTCACTGGGATTTCAGAATTCCATTCTGTGACTCGGGCCAGTATTACCAGGAGTTTACAATCCCTGGGGAAAACTCGTGCGGAAGGTCCAAAGTCCACGACAGAGTAGCAGGGATTGTTTGAGAGATTTGAAATGTTTGTTTGTGTGCCTAGCTGCTGCAGATGTCCGGATGTTCCTGAGGTGGCTGTGGTGGCCTTTCCATGGAGCTGTAGAGCTTCCGGGGGACTCTTGTCTGTCACTCACCATTCTCTCCTGCGATACCCACGTTTGTCTTCCAGTACCACTTCAACCCCTCACAGTCTATCCTCGTGATGGAAGGAGAAGACATTGGGAACATCAACCGTGCCCTGCAGAAGGTCTCCTACATCAACTCCAGGCAGTTCCCGACAGCAGGCGTGCGGCGCCTCAGAGTCTCCTCCAAAGTTCAGTGAGTAGATGACAGTCGGTCTAGGCCCTACCTGAGGCAGCAGGGATGGCCCCCTGGGAATTCTCTCTTACAAAGCTGGACTGAACTGCCCTGGACGTCTCTGTTATCCCAAGAAAAGTGCTGGAATAGGTTTGTGTTCCGCTTTGGGCTTTCTTAGGGCAAATATTATGTCTGTCCGGCTCAAATCTACCATTCCCCGCTTCATTCTGTTTGAGAATTCTATAGATTCTTTAAAGGCTGGCCTACAGCCAGCCTGATTTAAGGGCATACCACCTGGTACAAAGAGGGTAGGTGCTTGACAAATGTTTATTAAATTGAATTAAATTATCTAGCACAGCTTCACAGAGTTCCTAAAAACTGTACATAAACCAAAGAAAGGGAGGGCATGGTTCTTGTTCCCAGGGATCAGAGTTGTGCTAAGGAGATGAGATTATTACTAAAGCCTTGATATAACTCACCTGCTGAGCTATGAAATCAATTCCTAGCCACAGCAGATGCCTTGGAGGACTGCTAGGAAGGGGGGCCCCAGAGAGACCCCAGGAGGTACAGTCCCCAGGTACCTAGAACAGGAAAACTCAGAAAGAGATGAACAGGCTAGGAAAGATGTATTTGTTGACTGCCACATGGCTGAGTCCTGCGAGAGATGCCAACAAGGACAGTTACATTCCACGGCGCAGAAGGTGTAAGAAGCAGGCACCTCTGAGTTAGCACCATGTTAGAGCAAAGAAAGGTGATAGACTGGTGAGTGTCCAGCTCTGAGACCAGGCTTCTGTGAGCTTCATGGGAAGAGGAGCCCACTGGGGTTGGTGTGGCTGAGGTAACAAAAGCCTGCAGGCAGAAACCCACCACAGTTCTTGCATCTTACCCACTCCACAAAAGAGGACAGGGAGGCTCAGCACTAGACACGCCCAGACTGCCTTCCCTCTGACCATCCCAAAGCACACAAAATGACCGCTGCAGCCAGCACTCCCACAGCACCTGTTAGGCCCAAGGTTTCAATGTCGGCTTCAATGACAATGGAGTGAATGTATCAAAGACACATGGGTCCTGATGAGTTCTGATGACAGTAAGATTAACTAAGCTTTACTGAGCTCAAATCATATGGGCAGTGAATAGCTTCTTTTCTAGAGTCTTAATCCTTACTACTATAGAGTACATTTTTTGTTTGTTTGTTTGTTTGAGACAGGGTCTCACTGTGTAGATCAGACTGGCTTTGAACTCGCTAAGTAGCCTAGACTGGCCTTGAACTCGCAGCAATCCTCCTGCTTCAGCCTTCCAAGTGCTGGGATTACAGGCGTGCACCACCGTGCCCAGCTTAGTGTTAAAATTAGTATTATCCCATTTTATAGATGAAAAGACTGAGATTCACAGCAATTGAGCACCCCCTGTCCATCTCCTGTCTATCCCTTGTCTGCCAGCTCAAGAGTAGCAGAAATAGACCATGGATCCTTGGCTAACTTCTCAGGCTTTGTTCTTATTGTCACACCATGGCTGCCTGTGGATGCTTTTTGGGGGCTTGTACTAGGGAAAAGGAGGGTAAGTGCAGTGGAACGGTGCCCGTGCCTCCAGAGGAGTCACACCGGTGTGATTCCCCCTTAGTGACGTAGCATATACACTTTGGCAGGAGAGTTAGCCCTGGGGTCTCATTTAGTAAGATAGCGTTGACCAACCAGTTAGACAACAATTTGCTTACCAAATACTCATGCACATAATAAGCAGTTGCTATCTAATTAATGTTGTCATTGATTGCTTTGTTAAAAGATAATGAAAGCTTTATTTGTTGCTCGCATATAAAATTCCAGTTCCTCCCCGGAGCCAATCTTTGAAGTCCCTACCTCACTAGTAGTTTGGATGATAGAGTGGCTTTAAATCCCAAGCTCTACTGACATCCTCAGAGACTTGTAGCAGTCAGAATGCTTCGTCCAGGACTAGAAGTGGCAACTCCCTGTCCTTGGCTAGGTTGCAGATGGTTTAACCATTTGCTTGCCAGTGTGGTGATTGAAGCTGTCTTCCCAGGTGCTTTGGGGAAGATGTGTGCATCAGCATCCCCAACGTGGATGCCTATGTGATGGTCCTGCAGGCCATGGAGCCCCAGATCACTCTGCAGGGCACAGATCGTCTATGGAGACCTGCTGCCCAGTTCGAAAGTGCCAGAGGCGTAGTCCTCTTCCAGGATATCAAAATTGTGAGCACCTTTGCCAAACCTGAGGCCACTGGGGACATGAAAACCACAGGTACAGGTGCACGTGGGGTTGTGGGAAAAGTGTGCCTTAACTTTTTACAGCAATGCAAACCATACTCAGGACAGCAGCACTGTTCACTGTGACAGGGTCATATATAACAGCAAGACAAGCAAAGCTGGGAACAATCAAGATGAACAACAGGAGAGGGATAGGCAAAGCCAATCTGTTTCTGCTTCCCTTCCCTCTTATACAGTTGCAGAAAAAAGGTCATACATTGAGCATGTATTATCTTGATCATCAAAAGAAAAGCTAGAAAGTGCACAATGCACAAAATATAGATACTTCTTAATGCATAGACAGCAAAAGTTAGGTCTCATTCAGCAATATGACTCTAAGCTCTCCAGAAATTTTCAAGTTGTTATTTCCAACAGTTTCATCATTGGAAGGGTTATTTAGTGAAAGAGTAATTTAAATTATCTGCCAGTGAGAAACAGTTACACTGAAAGCCACAGGAGAGGCTGGGGGGAGAGGAAGAGGGGGAAATGTCCATTTGAAACTAGTCCTTTGCTACCTTTTCTAAGAAAACACTTTCAACTTGCCTTCGCCCCTCTAAAAGCCATTGCTAATGATGTGCCAGTGCCAGTAGGCCTAGGTCCCTACAGATCTGCTTCTATAATAATCCTAATTACCCACTGCCTTAAACCACACTGGCTCCTAGTGAGTAGGGCACTTGAGAGGCAGCCCTCCAGAGCTCAAAATAATAGATGGCATTTCACCACCTGTCCGGGAAGGGTGGTTTCCTAGTCACATGCCAAGGTGCATTAGAACGTGTGATCTCCCTGCTTCCCTGCTCTCATTTTTGGCTACAATCAGAAGAAAAAGGAAGGCCCACTGACCTCTGTGATTGCAGCCAAGGAGCATCTGGAATTGCTTCCTCTGACACCAGCATATGGGCAATGTAGAGAAAAGCAATTATCTGGGTCCACACTTCACCTTCTGTTTATGAGAGGTGCATGCAGAGCACATGAGCAAGTGCCTGGGAGCTATTATTAGTATTTTTTAAATGTCCCTCTTATCTTTGTTAGAATAATTATTATGGGTGTTTTAAACAAGCAGGCTAATGTCATTTGCTACTGGACCTCAGTAACTGGCTCCAGCACCATCTTCTGCCCCCAGTAATTTACTCTTTCTGTTATCTCAGTTGCAAAGACAGACACACTCATACACTCACACACACACACACTCACTCATGCACATGCACACAAACTTCCATATACACATCTACTCTCTCTCTCTCTCTCTCTCTCTCTCTCTCTCTCTCGCCTTTATGTTAGTCATGTTAGTCCACACTTTTTCTCTTCTACGCCTGGGCAGTTCCTTTTCCTTCCTTCTCCATCTCCCTTTATTGGGGCAAACCTCTCTGCCTTCAATGCCACCTCCAGAAGGCTCTGCCTACCACCCCCTGACCCCTAGGCTGGTCTCCTGCTCTGCACACTGCAGCAGCTGCGGCTTCTCTCTAGCACACAGCATTTTTCAGCCCTTCACGATAATTATTTGTCTATGAAACCAGACCAGGAGCTCCCTGAGGGCTCAACCATGGTTGATTTGCTTCTGGATTTCTGAGCCCAGCAGCCCCTTCAACACAGTGGAATCAAGAAACCTGTAGATGGAAGATAACACCATAGCTCAAGTAGAAGAGCAGAATGAGGAAACGGCAGCTGGATCTTCCCTGACCTAGTGCTAGCTCTGTCAGTCCCAATGGAAGATAGGAGCAAAGTGATTTAACTTCACCTAAGGAGAAGCTGACAAACCACTAGGCACTACATGAAACCCATATGAAATTATACTTATGCTATTATTAATGACAGCCCTTGTGTTTAGTGTGTATTGTTGTGTTTTCCAATCTTGCTAATGATGCAGGAAACAATTGTGGTTGGTAAACAGTTAAAAATTAAGCATATAGAAATTATTTATAATAATATATAATGAGTATTTTGATGTCACTGAAAAAAATCTCATTCTTAATGAATCCTTTTAAATTTTGTTTTCATAAATGTTTTACAATGCAAAGCATAAAATCAGTCTACTTTATATATAAGTAAATATACTTGTTAAATGATTTTGCTTCCCAAATCTTTCAGTAAAGAGGTGCATGATCAAGAACATTGGAAGATCACAGGCCTAGAGATCACAAGTTTCCAAACTCTGATATTAGAAAAAGTGGTTTTTCTCCTGGGTCCTCCTCTCACTTTCTGTGTAACGTTGGGCACTTCACCTTCCCGAGAATTTCCATTTCCCCGTTGGTGAGATGGGGTAGTTATAGTAACCTCATTAATGTCTGTTCGCTAGGACTGAATTTGCACAGTACCTGGCACATATCACACACCACATAAATACCAATAACCTGCATGCTGAGATGAGATTTTTAATTTAGGATTGCTCAGATCTGCCCAATGTTCCAATACTCAGACATTCCTTTGAGAAATTTGGAATCATAAATCAGGCAAAGACCATTACATTGACCAACTTGCTCATATGCCTCCCTGGGAGCATATTAACTAGTTAATGTATCAATTATTAGTTCATTATTGGCTATATTGTATTGACTTAATTGGTTATTAGTTAATGATCCAGCTGCACTTGAGCAGCATACAGCGATAACTGCTCCATGGCAACTCCTATGTCAGGCACTAAGGATCTCCTCAGGTGCCTCTGTGCTTGAGAGCCTCAGAGCCTGATGCACACAGTGACCACATGGAGAGCATGGTGGGAGGCCACTTAGCTCTCCACCAAGTGATAGCTATTACTTATGACACACTTCACCAGAATGGGACAGTGTTTTCAATACTCTCAAGACTTATTCTCTCTGCAGGTTAGGAAACTGAGTGGACTTGTGTAGCTTCTCAGTAGCAGATGTGTGTACAAATTCATGTCCTGTGTGTGTGTGTGTGTGTGTGTGTGTGTGTGTGTGTGTGTAAGCAACACTGAGGATTGAACCAGGGCCTTTTCATTTTGCACTGAGCTGCATCCCCAGCCCTTCTATTTTTTATTTTTGAGACAAAAATCTCTTGAAGTCACTAAGTTGTCCAGGCTGGGCTCAGACTCAAGATCTTCCTGCATCAGCCTGCACAGAGCTGGGGTTACAGGCACGCACCACCACACTCAGTTAAATTCATATCTTTTGACTGTAGTATTCATGCTCTTCCCACCAGTTCCCACGACCCAGCCTCAGGGTTGGCTGATGCTTTAGCAGTTGGTATGGTATTCAGGATTGCAATCATCTTCTCTTGATGTGGCCTTAACCTGGGTATAGTAACAGAGGAGAGAGATGATGAGCGAGGGCTGTTTTCTGAGCTGCTGTCCCTGTCTATGTTTCCCATGCATCTGCCTTCCCACAGCTGCAAAATCAGCAGACTTAGAAGAAATGCTTCACAACTTGGATTTTTGTGACATTTTGGTGCTTGGAGGGGACTTGGACCCAAGACAGGAGTGCTTGGAACTCAACCACAGCGAGCTCCACCAACGACATCTGGATGCCACAAACTCGACTGCAGGCTACTCCATCTATGGTAAGGTCCCTCCACCCAGTGGGGGCCCTCTCAGCATGGCCTTCTCCAGGAGCTTTGAGTGTGATGGCACCTGCAGGAGTGCAGTGTGAATACCCAGGGTTCAGCAGAGACCCTTGATCTCAGGACATGGATTTCTAGACTTTGGACAGCTCCCCCAGCATTTGGGGGACTGCCTACATCTCCACTCTTGGGGAAATCTGTAGAAGCTTCCGTTATAATGTTTGATCTCAGAAAATATTATGCAGGGCTGGGGATCTAGCTTGGTGGTTCCACCACCTGCCTTGTGAGTGCCAGGACCCAAGTTCGGTCCCTGTACAAAAAAAAAAAAAAA